CAAAATTTCTAGTGAAAATCTTTAAGAAGTAGTTAATGAAATAGTTGTTTACATCGTTGCTAAAAAATAGGGAAGTGCATTGACCACAACAACTGTACTTTTTGTTACTTTTAAAGCACATAGTAGTATTTGTTGATTTGGATTTTGTACTTCAATGTTTGAAAAAGCATTAAAAAAAAAAAAAATTTTTTTTTGATTATAAATAGGGGTGAGCCACATTAATAATGATTATATACACACGGGTCAAAATAGGTGATGAACTTTGGTGCCCCTCGATTTGTTTTTTAGACCATCTAGAAGGGGCAACTAATAATTAGTTATATTATTTAACAAAGTATAAAACAGTTGTTTTCCCCCCCTCAACCAGAGGGGCGCCAAAGTTCGGGAACCGTTTTGACCCCTGTATAAAACTAAATATTTTTTAAAGATTAGTTTTATGATTTTTTTCACTAGCTTTTCCTTAACGGTATGGTTCTAACAATTTCAAAAAGGTATGACACAAACCTATGTCATTTCATCAAACTAAAATCTGATTCAGCGTGGGTGTGATTTCTAATATAATTTTATATAAATAATAAATTGGCTTTTATGTATTTATATAGATATACTTAAAATGCAAATTAGGTTGTTGCCATTGCAGTTTATTTAAAAATTAGTTGCCGAGCCAGCCCTAAATATATTTAATAATTATAAATAATTAAATTTAAATCTAGATGTAATTTAGTATTAGTTCTTTGCTTAATTTTATTATTATATTTCTTGATTGATTAAGTTATTATTTATCTAATTATTCATTTATCTAGATTTAAATTTAATTATTTATAATTATTATTAATATCAAATTTTAACCCTATGGATGGGTAAATATTTTACCCATCCATAGGTTTAAATTTTACCAATCGTAAAAACAAGGAAAAATGTTACAAAAGAGCACACTGAAATGCTTAAGCATTTAGTTGAAAGAAATCAATCTACAACAAGCATTTCCACTTCTCTTAATTTATCTATGCACACAGTTCAAAATCTTGTCGTTAAGTTAAGCAGAGGAGAATTCGACGACATGACTGCATTCAAGTTGTTTTCTGATAAAAAACAAGGTAAAAGACCTATACACGCTCCAATAAAAAATATTACCGAATTATGCGTACAAGAAAACAATCTTTGCACGCAATAAATAATAAAAGAAAATCTTTCTGCAGCAGGCTTCAACATGCCTTAACCTACTATTTCAAGAAAACTCAAACGCTCATTAATCAAGAAAACGTGTTGTGCATGTGCCAGAAGAACGAAACTCGACACGAGTTATTAATGCACGCTATGCATTTGCAAGCAAAATTAACGGAATTTCAGATAAAAAAAACCATTTATTTGGACGAAACTGGATTTAATGTGCACACTAACAGCACATATGGTTATTCGCTAAGAGGTACGCCAGCAATTTTACAGTCACCTGTAAATCGTGGCAAGAATGTTAGTTTAATTTGTGCTGTTTCAACAATGGGAGTGCTTGCTTATGAAACAAAAACTAGAAGCTGAAATGCATATTCATTTTTTACTTTCATAACTACAATAATGGGACCAGCGATTAGGAATGCAAATGTAAAAGCGCCGGTGCTTGTTATGGACAATTGTAAATTCCACTGGAGTCTTTCTGTTTATCATGCTTCTGTTTGTCATGTTTCTATAGTGTTTTCTGCAAACACTAGCTTTCATGGTACAGCTATTAAGTATTTGCCTGCATACACGCTATAGCTTAATCCGATAGAAGAATTTTTTTCTTCTTAAAAACATACTTACAAACAGGTAGAAAGACTACAAAATATGGATGGGGTAATCAGGAAATTTAAAAAATTTGGATACTACAGAATTTAATTTAATTCCATTATACAACCATACGCGTAGCAACATAAATCCAGCGCTGGCTTGGAAACCATTTCTTAAACAAATAACAATGAAAAGAATCTAATTTATGTTTTAAATATATCTATATAAAAATTTAAAAGCGTATTTATTGTTTATAATAAACTATATTAGAGATTTTATGGGTGGTTGACCCGGATATAAACGCGCGTGTAAGAATGAATAAACACGCGTGTAAGAATGAATAAACACGCATTTAAAAATGAATAGACGCGCGTATAAGAATGAATAACCCTGTAAATGAGTATTTATATAAATAATAATTTAATCAATCAATAAATTTAATAATAAAATTAAACAAAGATCAAATACTAAATTAAATAAATTATCATCGAATATAAAAAGTCTTCGTCTTAAGGTGGTAGGACTAGAAAAAACCTAATTCTTTTAAAAACTATTGTTATTTCCCAAGAACTTCTAAAAAAGTTTGAATTTATGTTAAAAATCATTTGACAATTTTTTTTTATTAATTTGCCTCGCCTACCCATACTTATATAAAAAAATAAACCAAAAAATAAGGAAATTTTAAAACACAATATCACAAAATATAATCAACAAATCACAATGAATTTTTGTAGGTTTGTTTTTCAACAATAGATAATTCATTTGAACTAAAATGACATTGAATCTTAATAGAATAAAAAATATACATAATTTATTATGTATGCGTTAAAAAAAAATACCAAAATGAGAATAAAAAACAAATAATAAGCAATAAATACATTTAATTATTACAAGATTTTAGTTCAAATGAACTTAATATGTATACTGAAGATACTGTGAAAATTTCAAGTAAATTGAATTTTTCTAACTTAAGATATTTGGTTTTGAAGTTACAAAATCTTGCAAAAAATCAAAGTTCAATAAGACGCAAAATAAAGTTGTAATATGTTTAAAAATATATATACAATATGTTTAAAACCCTCCTGATACATAAAATGATGTTTTATTTTGACTTTGTTTATCAGAGTATCTTTTTTTTATTGCTCTGAGACTTTTTCTTCTATTTTTTACTTTTTCGCTTGACTTGATCTCCATGCTCTTTACACGTGAAACATTTTGTTCATAAGATTTAGAATTTGTAACAACGCCTGATAGTCCAAATGAAAATAAAACACCTTCAGTACCATCATTGTAGTGTAAAATTGCTGAATTAATACTCATTTCAAAAGTTTGTTTACAAACAAATATGTTTTTAGGGCAACGAGACCAAACCAATGCATTAAGACTTTCATTTGCATTTTGGGTTTGCCCATGTACACATTTTAACAATAATTCTTCATTTGATAGATCTTTAAACACTGGTTTCAAAAGGTTACTAATCCATAATGGTAAATTAATATGTTCTTTATAATTTGAAGTATTATGTAATTTGTCATATTGATATTGACACCAACTAGTTTCAGTTCTTGGGCAAAAGCAGTGGCGAAACTCTTGATTTGAATATCCAGTACAGCAGAACAAAATAGCCCATATTGCCTTTTACATGGCATAAATGTTATCTGTATTACTTCTTATAGCTAAACCATAAAAATTTTGCATACTATTAATCACATTTTCTGTGAGTTTATTTTTTCCACCTAGTGGAGTTGGCTTTCCTTTGTAATTTTTGATTAAATTTCGTAACCGTGTACCCATTCTTTTTTGTACATGTGCAACCCACTAACTTTTCAGGAATTATTTTATAGTCTTTATAGGGATTAGACTTTATTACTTCTTTAAAAGATGAGCTATCTCCATCTCCAAGATAACAAGTATAAATAATATTGTTATTTTTAATTGAACGTGCAAATATTTTTACAGCCCCAGCTGCTTCCATTGACCCAGAAGATTGTTTATGATTTATATGACAGACATGTTGAGCTTTCCAAGCATTGTATCGTGATGAAGCTTTTTTATTTTTCCATATTCTACAGCCCATGCAAAATTTTGACATTGCTTCATAATCAACGCACTTATCACCCACAATTGCACTTACAAATCCAGTAAGGGAGGTATGGACGCGTCGTTGCCATGCACCATCAATCTTAACATGCTTCATTATTGGTTTATTATCGTCAGTATAGTTATCTTTCATTTCATTTGTGGCACGTTTCATACTTTCTTTAGCAGTTTTATCATAAGCTTTTGATATTTCTATATTTAGTTTTCTAAATGGAGTAGCTGTCAAACAGTGTAAATTCATACAGCTACTAAAGTTTTTCATAGAAAAGGTTTTGTATTCTTCTAATCTGCTTAGAAGAATACAAAACCTTTTTCCATTCACATAAACTACACTTGATTTCAAGGTGATGGGCAAAACCCATGCGCTTAGAAAGATTATCAACAATGGTAACAAGGCTGTAACAATCTGAACATCTAACATCTTCCACGATATCACTTAAAATTAAAAAAAGTATGAAATAATTTTTATTCACTTTGTCATTTATAACTTGATTTCTATTTATCAGTGGCAGTAATTTTCTTGCACTTGCACAACTTGAAGCTGGAACAATATTCAGATTGCTTTTCTGTTGTCTTTCTGCTGCAATTGTATAACGATTTCCATGAAAAAATCTTTTCTTTTTTCGTCCAAAGTTTTGCTTATTAGATACTTTAATGTTATTTCTTGAAGTACTCATTATTTATAATACTTGAGGTGAAATCTGAAAAAGTTTATAACATCAAAATTAAACAGCATGCACTAAAGTTGCTTCAAAAAACTGCCAAAATTTACAATGTTCCTTTAGTTAATGACCTTTAACAATTGCACATTTATCAGTGTATGATATAAATCTTGTTGTTCTTTATGGAAAGGTATCAAGGTAAAAAAACTGTTTACCGTTGCTAAGGGCGTAACTAAGGACTAGTCGTTGTATGTAGTAACATAAAAGCTTTAAAAACTAAATAAGAAATAATTTTTTTTTTAAATTTTTTTCAATACATGAAAGCTAAGTAATTTTCCTTTGGAAAAAAAAAATAAAAAAAAAAAACGACTTTTAAAAATTTTTACATGTTTTTTCTAGCTCTACCACCTTAAGTATTTTAACCTTGTTTACCAGAAAATAAAATAAATTGTTTTTTCTAAACAAATTGCTTACATTTAAAAGATTTCTTTTGTTCAAAATCTATTTTTTTCAAATTGCACATTTAATTTCCAGACTTTTTACCTAGATCCAGATCAGATTAGGCGGATTGACCACTTAATTCCATACTATACTTAAGCTTAATTCCATACTATACTACTATTATACTATACTACACTTAATTCCATAATATACTTTACTCTATTCAATTTTCCTTAAAGTGATAAAAAATAAACACATTTTACCGAGGTCAGAATACGGAAAACTTATTTCTTCTAATGCATGAAAAAGCCATATACCTGATCATAGTTTGTAACACTCTCGCGCTTATCGTAGTTAAGTTACGCCGAAACCTTGAATAACAAAAAATGCCCGATGAAACTTTAAAATGTAAAGTAAATTATTACATTTTAATTTACATCTTAATAGTAATATAATATTTCTCATTAGGCCCCTGCATAATGAGCCGTACCTTAGATCCGCCCCTGCACCGAGAAGACCATAAATAATACTAATATAAATTAGATAAAAAACAGAGTAAACAAAAAATAGGTAATTGTTATAATTAAAGATATTATACTTTCTAAAATAACCGTTCGTTATTTATACTGCCACCTGCAAATGACAAGAAAATTTTTGTAAATTCTGTTAGGATAATGTTTTGCGTTTGTTGACTAATACTTGTAAGGGTTCGCTGTGTTTTAAGCAAACGGTCTCATGTAAAAACTAATATCATTTTCAAATAGAATAATTCTTTCTTACATCTTCATTTGCGTGCATTTTTTTTCGTAAAGATTAGTTTGATCGTTTTCTTATAAAGTAGAGCTGAATCATCACCGGTGCTACTATTTGCTGGTGATGGTTCATCGATGTCAAGTAGCCTTTTACAGAAAAGTATTTATCGCATCGTTTTATCGCAACTGTTTAATTGACATTCCCATTAAAGTTAAACCATGTTTTAAAATCAGGTTGTAGTGAAGATCTATCTATATAAACTTCCGGAATTACCCCAGAAACGCAAATACTTGAGCTAGTTATTTTATTAATAGGGTAATCCCTTGCTTGACATTCGCATCACTCCAGTTTCTGTATCTAATGTGATTTCCTGCTTAGACTCTTTTACAGCTTGGAGCCCGGACAACATACCTGTTATAGTCCTGCAGATGTGTTCTCCGGAGCTGTCGTCTATACTTTCAAACTATTCAACAAGTGCTTATCAGAGTCTTATTTTCTATTTCACTGGAACGCAGCATCTGTTATCCCCTTTTTCAAAAATTCTGAAGAGCGATCTGATTAACCGTCCTATTAGTCTTCTTCTTATCATAAACAAGGTTTTTGAATCTTTATTTAAAAAACACTTAGTCTCTCATTTTGAATCAAATAACTTACTTTTTGATCATCAATATGGATTTCGATCTTCTCGTACTACAGCTGATTTGCTAACAGTAATAACCGATAGGTTTGCATTAAATATGCGTTAGATAAAGGTAGTGTCTATGCAAACCGATAGGTTTGCATTAGACGTGCATTAGATAAAGGTGGAGAGGTTAGGGCTTTCGCTCTTAGCATTTCTAAAACTTTTGATAAAGTTTGGCATACTGGTCTTCTCCATAAGCTTTCTTCTTACGGTGTATCTGGTAACATCTTTAAGATTATTGAATCCTTCTTTTCCAATCGTAGTACAAAAGTTGTCTTCAATGGAAAACACTCTTATTCTGTAACTTCAGGGGTACCTCAAGATTCAACACTTGGCTCTATTCTCTTTTACATTAACGTTCTTCTATATATTCTCACATCTAAGATGGCATCGTTTGCAGATGATACTACCATTTATTATAATCCATTTATTTAACCATAAAAAATGAAAATTTACGATAATAATTTATAAACTTACAAAAATAAGGTTAGGTGTCATTCATATAAATAAAAACTAATCAATGGAGTGACACCTAAAAAAAAAATAACGACAAAAAAAAAAAAAAAAAAACTATAAATAAAACATAGAAAGAATTTAAAATTAAAGTAAGAGGAAAAAAAAATAGAAGCATATAAAAAAAAACAGGAAAGAAAGGAAAATAAAGCAATAATAAAAAAAGATAATATCTTTAATTGCAATAATAATATAATAAAAATAATAATATTAATAATTATGTGAATAAAAAAACATTACAAATTGTAAGTATAACGATAACTTTACTAAAAATTATAACTAATGGTAAAAACTATGGTAAAAATAATTATAGTAAAGTTTATAACTATGATAGAAATTATTAAAATAAACATATCTAAAACATATTTAATATAAACAAAAATTAGGACAATGTCCATTACTACAATTACTGTTACTACAATTGAATCACTATCATTATCATTATAAATAAAATTGATAAGGTTTATAAAACAAAGGTAAATTAATGATAATAGTAATATTAGTAGAAGAGTTAAAAAATACAGTATAAAATAAAAGTAATAATAGTTTTATAAACACAGAAATGTAAAAAAAAAAACAATAATTATAAAAGATAAAATTAATATTCATTAAATATATACTCAAATAAAAAATTTTAAATTTGGTTTCGATTGAGAAGAAGAATGTTAGTAATAAAAGGATATTTAGTTAAAATCTTTTTTTATATTATTGGTATTGTTTGGTTCCAGTGAAATTCTTGTCATGATAAAAAGCCAACACTCTTTGATAGCTTGGAGGGGCCATTTGAATTTGAAAATGATCTCTTCTACAGCATGGGTCTCACAGTGGCTGGTGTACTTTAATACAGATAAAACTCAATTTTTTTCAGCCAATCATTATTGCAATAATTTAGATCTTACTATATTTATGAACGGTATTCGATGAGTCATCTACCCTTAATCTTCTAGGATTAACTCTTACTGCCAATCTTTCTTGGAAACCATATATCAAATCCGTTACTATATCAGCATCCGCTAAGTTTGCATCTGTTTATCGAGCTCGACACTTTCTTACTCCGGATTTTATTCTCTATCTCTATAAATCTCAAATCCAGCCTTTTCTGGAATACTGTTGCCATATCTGTGGCGGATCTTCTAATGCATTAGATGCATTGCATTGCATTGAATAACATGCAATGCATTGAATAACGAGTAACACGAGAATAAGTTTTAATAGATTGCACAAGAGTCATTAATGACTCTTGTGCAATCTATTAAAACTTATTCTCGTGTTACTCGTTATTCAATGAGGTCTCATCCTTTTACTGTGACTGTTCCTAAGTGCTTTAAAAACTCTTATTTGTCTAATTTTTTTTCCTCGAACATCAGTTCTTTTAAATTCGTTTCCTTTATCTTGCTTTCCTGATTCATATAGTTTGCAATCTTTTAAATCGCTGTTAATATTTATCTTACTCCACAATCTTCATCTCTTCTTTTCTAGTAACTTTCAAATCTAATAGTGGTTGCTTGCAGCCTTGTTGAAGCGAAGATATTAAAAATAGAAAATAAAAAAAAAATTAAAAGTTTTTTTTCAACTTTTAATCTTTAATATTTTAATTGTTTTCACTTTATTTCTTTTATTTTATTTTTCAATTCTACTATTCTAAACAATTTTTTATTTGTTTTTTTTTACGCTTTTATCTATTTTTCACCATTTCACCCTTAAAAAAGGCTTCCTCCATTTGCACATCATTGCAACAACACACGTTTTGGACGTCTTTCGAACGTTCAAAAGACGTCTTTTTTTGGTCCAGTGCCCACTGGGTATATATTAAAAATTTAACTAAATGAAAAAATACAACTTTATGATGGAACTTAAAGTTTCATACCCTTTCGGCAATTATCAGTCATATATATATTTTTTAATTTTTTAATAATAATAATAATTTTTAAAGGATTAAGAAATATTTATATGGCTGATGATTGCCAAAAGGGCATGAAACTTTAAATTCCATCATAAAGTTGTATTTTTTTATTTAGTTAAATTTTTAATATATAATTGATGAATTACTTTGTAAATAATTAATTTACATTATATTGATCACTCTAAAAAAACATAAAAGAGGCTTTGTATCTCTATTTGGTACAAAAAATCTTGAAACAATATAATACAACGTTGCGAAAACTAAAAATACAACAATTAATCAAGGTAAATAATGCACTTTGCCTAATTAAAGTGTTGCCTAAGTTAGTTTTCTGTTGTTGGCGACGTCGTATTTGTAACCAAAATGATTTAAAAATACGTTGACCGCCGATGTTGTGCCTACGCAAGTTACAAAATTGTTCTAACGTTTTACCAAAGTATGCGCGCTAGCTGTAATAATTTATATTACTTTTTTTCTTACCCCGGCTATACCCCTGCTAAATCTTGTAATTTTCCGGGTCGGAAACAGGTTTGTGAAAAACTCAATGTTTGGTCGGAACTGAGACCCCGGTCACTTCCTATATTGAGATATGGTTTTTCTTGCCACAATTATACTAGTACCTATTATCGGCACCTTCAGAACAGCGCTCTGTCACATATTAGTGAGAAAAATATAATTTTTCATTTTGAGGCAACATGATAAAGTGTCGCTGTTATCGCCAGTTTCATAGCTTTTGAATCATTTTAATTTTAGAGGATCACAATCCCATAATAATTTTTATGGCGATCAATAGTTCCATCAGTCAATTTCCAAATCCAGAAAGACCAATTTTCTTATTCTTCAAGTGACGTAAACGTGTTGCAATTCCTTTTTGTACTTAGTCAACACATTTAGGTTTCTTTATTCAAGTTTCTTGATAAACATTTTTTATAAAATTATAACTTTGCTATTTCCATCACCAAAGAAACCAGTGTCTAGTTAAATATATTTTTCAATAAAACTACTTCATGCTCTACTGGCTTCCTCTGGATCTATATCATCGGGTATTCTATAGTAATTATAAATACATTTATGTTGCTCATGCCATTTTCATTATTAAAAATAAAACTATTTAATGATGTACAATCAAAATAAACAAAAATTAAAGAGAGCTTCATATTTCAAAAAAGTCTAAAAAATATTATATTCAGACAAAAAGCTGAAAAAATCTAAATTATGTAACACGTCAAGAAGTTTTAAATGATTTGAAACTTTAAATTATTCAAAACTTGTGTTTTTTATAATAAAACAACAATTAATTTAAAAACTTCTTTAATAAAAAATATGTTTTGGGGACGCCGCAGACCCTCAAATAATAAACGGTTACCAAATGGTATTAAAAAAAAACTTCCTAAAGCAATGCCTGTTCGGTCTTA